GAAACCGACTGCAATGGGGCCCTGTGTCGCCACAGCCTCCTGCAGAACTTCCTCGCTACCATCCATTATTGTCGTGTAGCCAGCAGACTTTGCACCCACAGTATCATTTTTAAAACTGCAAATGTATATATAACTAATATTACACAGTCAATGACTGTCATAGTATTCCAATTTAGCACAACGCAAATTATAGATTGATAGGTGCAAAATGATTATCTCGCTGAATCTTTGTTACTTTGTAACTTAAGAACACTGAAATCACAATAGATCAGAAGAAAAACATTTTTTGTTTCCTCACCATTGATTTGATTATCAGGGCCATCTTACAGGGATCTTATGTAACGGATGCAGGGCCCTTGGGGGGACATTAATAGACAAACTACTGTTCGGTACCTGAATAAAATTTTCGGACCCAGACTACCAATTTGATTAAGATAGAATTGCTGATTGTGTCAAAACTGTAACAACGCTTTCAGGCTTAAAAGCTTGATATATAAAACTCACGCGCATCGCAGCTTTCTTCCGTAATATGGATAGGTGTTTTCTGTGTCGATGCCTTGGTTCTCCGCAATGTAAGTGAATGCGGCGAGCATATTACTGCTACTGCTACAGCCGTCTCCCCGCGAGGCGCAGTCCACTAGGTTTTGTTCCGACAATGAAACTAGTTTATTTCTGCTCAAGTAAACTTGACCCTCCATCGCACCTGTCTGCACAATATTTGATACTTAGACATTTTTCACTGACTTGGCGGCGACAGTGGTAGAGCCCGCTTTAACATCTTCGCACGAATTGGCCCGGCTCGCCCGGTGAAATACCACGACCACACAGAAGACAGGTGTGAAGTGGAAGCAATTCCACGTTTCGTCTGATGAGTGTGCGTCCCGGAGGCCTTATTTAGTCCTCTTTCCATTCCCATCCTTTTTATTATAATACATGAAAAGGATGGGAAGTGGAAGTGGACTTTCCGGATAAGAGTATGCATGGGAAGGGAAAATATTTTCTTTCTGTGCTTCCTCTCCTCCGTCGATTAAAGAGGTAGGCAACGCATGTGCAATTGCGTATGTCTATGGGCAACGGTCGCTTCGCTATATCAGCGATTTCAGGTGGCCGCTCGCTCGTTTGCCACCTTATGATATAAAAAAAGACTAATAATTACGTGGCTAGTGCTTATTTTAGTAGGAAATATTTTTATCAGTAGCAACAGTGTCAATACAGTCGAAAAATACTCTTAATAGTTTTATTTCAATTAAGATAAATAACATGTGAATATAAATGACACATTTTGATAATTGGGGCTCGTAATATGATCCGCAATGCAGCAGTGTTATAATATGTTAAGATGATGTCTAAAGATGGTGGGTGGTGGTTAATAAATGGACCAGAAGACTTGTGCTTTCACTCACAGCAGAGAAGGCCCAACAACAAGCGCAGTGATATTGATTTTTGACTGGGGTTACTGCGCCTCTGGTCACCCAGTTAATGGAATCAGGTACAGAATGCGTAGGCCGAACAAACGTAGCTCCTTTTTTAGCGTACAACCTGCAGAGTATGAAAAAAAAGGAAATTTTAAATGAAAATAAAAAAGGCAAGTCTACGAAAACTTCGGAGTTGAACCAGTAAAGGAGACAAGCGGGCAACAAGAATTATAAGTTTCATTTGAAACATAGTATAGCCATCTTCAATAGCCTTAACACATGGACTTTCGATCACATGGTCGCGGACTTAAAGCTGACTATATTATAAATGTGAATGTTTAGATGGATGGATGTTTGAAGGTATCTCCAGAGCGGCTGAACGGATGTCTATGAAATTTGGAATGCGTAATTATGTTTTTATTTTATTCTGCGCGGATGGAGTCGCGGGCGACCTCTAGTGTCCTATAATTATAATAAAGAAAACAAAGATACGTACAGATAATCAGTCATATTAAATCCGTATAAATATTTATTGATTTCAGACTCGTAGTAGTCGGAGAATTGATTTGTTCTCATATAGTATGTGGTCTCTCCGCGCAAATAGCGTTGGTTGTGCTGTTCTATGAAGTGTCTTTTGCGCATAAAGATCTGCATGCGGTAGCTGTCTTCCTCGGGATCGTATTTTTTACCATGTCTTAACTATAAAGTATGACTAAGTAAATCAAAGATCCAAGATTCAATGAATCTAAATGCATAATTAAGATTGATAAAGGGCGCAAAACTAAAGCTAACCGAGAAAAATCCGACAAGAACATTTGGCTGTGAAAGAATAACTGCTTAGTTGGATGCTATTTGATACATCATCATTAACTCACTATACGTCCCCACCGAGGGGCTCGGTGCCTACGCTAAGTTAGGGTGACTAGGCCATAGTCAACCACGCTGGCCCAGTGCGGCTTGGTTGACATCACACATATCTTTAAATTTTTATTTCACAGACATGTGCAGATTGCATCACGATGTTTTACTACACCGTAAGAACCTCGGATAAATGTACATATGTAAATAAAAAATCGAAAAACTCATTGGGACATGGCGGGATTCGAACCCAGTACCTGCAGATTATTAGTCAAGTACTTAAACTCCTTAGCCACCGACGCTCATTATACGCTATTTCATACAAAATACAGTATTATAATTAGTATTGGATCTGACTTGTAATTGACTGCAATTGGATTATAGAAAAAAAAGTTAGAAAATTTAAAGAACCTTAAATGTGTTCCATTCGTCTTGCACCAGATTAACTGACATGGCGCCGACCCCAACTATTGTCAACAGCAAACCCACAAGGAAAGTCATCTTCGTGCCTGATATATAAATAAATTAATATAGATAAATTGAAAACAAGCATCACTGACTATAATTCTATCACCCTGTGGATGAATATGAATCTGGCTGTGAAGGTTACAGGATGTTATAATATCTTTATCAGAGAAAACAATGAGCACAAAACAACGAAATATATAATAAAATAGTAGAAAGTTTTTAAATAAATAAATTAACACACCTTTTGTGTGACACGACTCGAAGAAACCCTTGGTGCTGTAGATTATTTTGTAAATTATATTCTTACTAAATTATATTAGCTGTAGCTTGCGTAACGCTGAATTTATAAATAACTGTTTATGAAACTAAATTTTACATTATTTAGAGGGAAAAGGGAAAACTGAAATTAATCATATTCACATATCAGTCGTATATATATTTTTAGCTTGACCTGGACATATTTTAAGTCTGGGCCCGCATTCAGCAGTACGAAAATCAGTGTTCTGCCTAAAGTACTAAATCCATTGGGGCCCTAAGACGCCTCTTAGGGCCCCGCTTCTCCTGTTTAAGAGGGCCCTGTTTTAGTATTATATAATAATTGGCTAAAATTGTCTTATTTTCATTTATTATCCAAATCAAAATTATTGATAAATCAAGTGAATATCAAATCTCAACCTAAATTTTATAACCAAAAAAACCGTGTCACCCTTTAACCTCTGTTTTATCAAATTACGTGACATATAAATAGATACATTTTATATTTTATTTACATCAAAATATAATCGTAACAAAACAAAAGATAAAACTAATATACGTGTTAAATTATATTTCTTTTTGACATACATTTTATTTACGAGTATATAACGTGCTGCATATGTCACGTGAATATAAAAATTTAAAAACTACTATTCTATTAGACTATTTCAGTCCAAATTAATACGATAGTTCGCTACAGACATATAGGAATCGTTCTATTTTTTTTTGTGACTGAGTAGTCACTGTTTGCCTTGAGGAGGCATTTACAGCTTCACCGGGCTTGAGGTGGCCGAGCGCAGATGGCGCTTAGCCTGAACCTCGTTTAAGAGTAAACAGGAATCATTCTAATCTTACTAATAGCATAAATGCGAATATTTAGATGGATGTTTGAAGGTATCTCCAGAACGGCTGAACGTATGTCGATAAAATTTGCTATACATATAGAACATAGGCTACTTATTACATTTTTTTTAACTCCGCGCCTCTGCGCAGTGATATAAATGTCTAAAATGCTTTTTTATAATTACGATACTTGCAATAAAAAAAGATCATAAAATTTACTTTTTCGTTTTATTTGCAAACGATTCTTTTACCTTTCGCTGTTCTGTGACCTTACTTATAGTGTCGTTAAAGGCCGGCATCGGCCTCTTAGGACCTCGGAGGAGCTCGGAGCCTACCCTAAAAGTTAAGGGTGATTAGGCCATAGTCAACCACTCTGGCCAAGCGCGGGTTGGTTGACTTCACACATGTCTTTGAATTACTTCTCAGATATGTTGAATCACGATGTTTTCCTTCACTATAAGAACGACGGATAAATGTTCATATGTAAATCGGAAATCGAAAAACATATTGGTACATGGCGGGATTCGAACCCAGGACCTGCAGATTGCAAGTCAAGTGCTTAACCCCTGAGCCACCGACGCTTCTTAAAATTACTAAAATAAAACG